GGATAAGTGTTTTTTGAGGACATTGCTCTACCTAAACTTCACCCAACAAATATGCCTTGGGCCAAATGCCAAGAGGCTGATTCTGCAAACCCTGGTAAAAACAAATTACCGTTTCATGATACTTCTAGCAGTAGTAGGTTAATTGGATGTTAAATTCAGCACCACAAAATCTTGAATGGGCAAAATAGCTCACTTTAACTTCCTGGGTTTTATTTAACATGGTAAAAACAGCAAATGATTCCAGCAGTTGTAAAACTGTAAATGGTTCCAAAAGATTGCTTATGACATTCTTGCTGTATGTAATTATTGGACCCCAGCCCAGGGAAACTCTCTCTCCGTTTCCCACTGTTCCTAATGTTCAGCTGAAGCAATTCTAGAAGTTCTACTTCATGCTAAGTGTAGACAGTATCAACTGGCCAGACCTTTTTAAGCACCATGGTGAAGACCTCCAAATCCAAACTATGTAGTGCTTAAAACGGTATGGTGGGCTGCCCAAGTAAAGGCGAGAACACCAGTTTATCTGAACCGGTGTTAATGTCAATGTGGGAATCTTTTTAGAAAAATTCCACGGCCTCCATGACTAGCCTGGGGTGATTCTTAACAATTTTCTTGACAAAGTCACACCCCGAAGTGTGTGCGTGTTGCACGCAACATGGTCAGATGTTATACTGGCATACTCAAGGGCGAGGTTAGTTTACTTCAGACTAATGACTAACATGTAAACATTAATTTTAGTAGTAGTCTCCTTTTAATAGCTTGTGACAATTGGCAACTGTCTTTGACTTAAGAGTGACTTGCATTCTGTAAATCCTACTGGTACCTCTTTCACTAGAGACTATGAGCACACATGTGCAGTAAGGGAAACTTATGGAACTGTTTTGGAATAACTGACTCAAATGCACTATTGAGTGCTGGTCTTAAATGTGTTCATGTTTCCTATCTTGGTATGTCATTACATAAACCGGCAGCTGCCTTTTGATTTTGAGATCTCAATCCACTCTCTACTCACACCTCTCCCTTTGCTACCCTTTACATTAGCACACTATTCAGTCCAGCCTCTTCCTGGATGCCCTAAGAAGATATTTGCATTACTTGCAATAAGTGAATATAATGCAACTGGGGTATGCTTTGTGCAAAAGGTCTCTTGTAAGGTATCATTACAAAGCTCATAATCTACTGAGTGTGATCATCCTATTTGTAGAAATGTACCACTCTTGTATCTAAAACTAGAAATATAAAACATAACTCTGAGGGCCTATTGTAATGATGTAAAGTGTGGGCCATTAATGATGGTTTGGAATCTTGATGACTCCCATTAACAAGGACCATTGTCTGCAGATGACTGTGTTTACCTGTGAGTCTTCCTGTATATGTGTGTGCTGGCAAGTGAGTAATGAAGTCTTGCAGTGACATGTGATCATGTCACCTGAACTGGAATCCATCTTTAACCTGGTGCTTTTCCAGTGAGGGGGGGTGGAAACCCAGAGGGACAAAGGGTTCCCGCCTTATGCAAAAGATATATAAAGGGGTGGAAGAGAACAAAGGAGAGAGGAGCCATCATGAAGAATCCCTTAGCTATCACCTGAGCTGCAACAAGAGCTGAACCAGGGGAAAGAATTGTGCCCAGGCCTGGAAGGTGTCCAGTCTGAGAAAAACTTACTGAAGCATCTCTGAGGGTGAGACTATCTGTATTCAGTTTGATTAGGCATAGATTTGCGCATTTTATTTTATTTTGCTTGTGACTTACTTTGCTCTGTCTGTTACTACTTGGAACCACTTAAATCCTACTGTCTGTATTTAATAAAATCACTTTTTATTTAGTAATTTACTCAGAGTATGTATTAATACCTGGGGGAGCAAACAACTGTGCATATCTCTCTATCAGTGTTATAGAGGGCGAACAATTTATGAGTTTGCCCTGCATAAGCTTTATGCAGGGTAAAACAGATTTATCTGGGTTTAGACCCCATTGGGAGTTGGGCATCTGAGTGCTAAAGACAAGCACATTTCTGGGAGCTGTTTTCAGGTAAACTTGCAGCTTTGGGACAAGTGATTCAGACCCTGGGTCTGTGTTAGAGCAGACTGGAGTGTCTGGCTCAGCAAGACAGGGTGCTGGAGTCCTGAGCTGGCAGGGAAAACAGGAGCAGAAGTAGTCTTGGTACATTGGGTGGCAGCTCCCAAGGAGGTTTCTGTGATCCAACCCGTCACAAGGAGGTTAAATACCTTTAAGTGCAATGGGTAGAGTTCTAGCGCTGGTGCTTGGTTATGAAGTTAAAATGTTTAGTGTTGACTTTTCTACCGTGACTTGAAAATGTAAAGCACCGAGTGCTGACTACTATCAACTCTCAGAGTAAGAGCCAGACGTCAGATCATGAAGATTCACCAGTTAATCTTCTCGAACATAAATTATATGCTGTTAAGTGGTTGGTTTCATCTGGACATCAAGGGCATCTACCACAATGGGCTACTTCTAGTCCATGGGCTTTAGGTGCTACAGTAATACAAAATAAAACTCTGGTAGTTTATCTTTTGGAGGCATTGGGAGAACAGGAGAGTAATGCTCCTGTTCTTTTTCTCACTTGGGCGTGTCTTCCTCAGATGGAGATAGCTTTGTGCTGCATTGCAGTGGTTTCACTACAGAAGTGCCAGCATGCATAGGGTGACCAGATGTCCCGATTTTATAAGGACAGTCCCGATTTTGGGGTCTTTTTCTTATATAGGCTCCTATTACTCCCTATCCCCGTCCTGATTTTTCACATTTGCCGTCTGCTCACCCTAAGCATGCACCGTGATTACATCACCTTGTGACTCACTAGCTAAGTTAGGGAAACAGTCATTTTCTCTTACACTTTGTACTTTTAATCTCCTCTTTTCCTTAATATAATTTGAAGTCTTTGAAAAATATCAAGGCAAGATATGAAAAGGAATTAAATTGACGATCTTGTGGCATGTTTTTGCAGGTCTTTAAGCATACTGAGATAACAAAACGTTGTGTAGTTTTAACAAGCCGTAACTCAGGCTTTGTATTGTGGGGAAACTCTGCAAATCTCTCTCTTGAAATCAGCATGTAAGGAGTTGGCTTGTAATTTGCTTTCACTACAGCAATTCATACAGGAGGCAGCCTAGAAAAAGGGGAGCAGTAGTGATCCTAAAGTAACTAATCTCTTGTAATAAAGCCATAAAAACCTCTGTCTTGAGAAGTCATGCATTTCTGGGTTCTAAGTCATGGCTTAGTACAAATGAAAAGATATTTTGGTATGTTCTATCCAACTTTGCTGACAACAAATGAAATCAAGCTGGGTATGATTTTAATTTAGTTGCTTTGGAAATGCTGATTAAAAATCAAAGATTGATTGTACAATTCTCAAGCTAAGTAACAAGGCTTCACCAGTTTATAGATAATATCTCAAACCCCTAAAACTATAACTTTAGCTGTATGGCATGCGGCACTTTGTGTAAAGTTTCAAACCTAAATGAGAGATGGGTACAAATGAGCTCCTGCACGAGTAGGTGTGAGGTAGATGTGGTGGAGAGGGATGGGTTAATAGGCTTTTAAGTGTATGTTAGAGGTTTTTAATATATCAAATTCTGTTTGCAGAGGATGTGAGTGATGAAGAAGAAGAAGAGGAAAAAGAAATCATATCGTATAGCATTAATACTGACATTCATTATGGGCTAAAGTCAAACAGGTGAGTGCAGTCTTACTGAAATCTGATATGAATGTTTTAGGACTAGGAAAAGCTAGTCCTATAAACCTTAGGCCAACGCACATATAGTATATATAGAGTTTATGTAGTGCTTTTGATGTTCAAAGTGCTCTAAAAACATCTAGCTTCACAACAGCGTGCTCTCGCGCTCTCTCTCATATGCTTGCATATTTGTTTCTTGTCATTGTCTAGCCCTAGCACACATTTGTCTCTGTGAAGCTAAAATATTTAAGAAGCAATCTTACACCAGAAAATGGTGTGCTTTCAATTATCATGATTATAGACTTGATTGCTTTTAGTTTTCTGTCAGTCTAAAATGGATTAATATAAAAACCTAATACATTCAGCTACTAGTAATAGTTTTAAAGCATTAGCACAAGTTTTGCTCTCACACTTTCAAAAGTGTATCCAGTAAAGCACGCTAGCATGTAACGTCTGATATACACCACCTAATTTTGTGGTATACTAGAGCTACTGCAATTTACTGTATTCTGGAATTAAATGTCTTATGGTTAACTAACTTTTTTCTTTGCTCCACAGTTTGGCATTCATTAAGCGTACACCAGTGATCGATGCTGACAAACCAGTGTCCTCCCAACTGAGAGTGCTTACTCTTAGTGAAGATTCTCCTTATGAAACATTACATTCTTTCATTAGCAATGCTGTTGCTCCCTTTTTTAAGTCCTTTATCAGAGAGTCTGGCAAAGCAGACAGGTAATTCTGTTAAATGCAAATAATAAATTTTCAGTACTAATGAAAAATGGATCAAAAAGAATGTGGGGCTGAGGTAAATAGGATTTGAAACACCTCATTTCCTGTTAAAATTAACTTAAAGCTGTTGGGGATGTAATTCAAGTTACATGAACCCAAGTGCATGCAATTTATGTATGCCATTGGTCTAGCTTTTCATTTGATGATGTTTTTTCCCCCAGGGATGGTGATAAAATGGCTCCATCAGTTGAGAAAAAAATTGCAGAACTTGAAATGGGACTGCTGCATTTGCAGCAGAATATTGAAATTCCAGAGATCAGTTTGCCAATTCATCCAATTATTACTAATGTTGCCAAGCAATGTTATGAGCGTGGAGAAAAGCCAAAGGTTACTGACTTTGGTGACAAGGTTGAGGACCCAACTTTTCTCAACCAGCTACAGTCTGGAGTTAACCGATGGATTAGAGAAATACAAAAGGTAAAATTGCAGAACTAAATGTCAGACTACATGGTAGAAACTCCTGTGTCATTCTTTAAGGGTGTGAAAGCCTCCTCTTTTGCTGTTGGCCTATTAACTGTGTTGTAAAATCTTACTCTATGCAGGAAACTCTAAACATAGGGCCAGATTCTCAGACAGTGTAAATTGAGCTACACCAGTGTACAGCTAAGAACCTGGCTCAGGTTCTTTGCCTTCAAGAAAATTGTTACTAATAAAATGCTGGCTAATTTTGTGTCTTTCCATTCAGGTAGTAAAAAATGACTGAAATTTTAAAAAAACTTTGAAGGGACTGATGCAGAAGGCTGGTACTGAGTAGAGCAGGTCTGGGAAAATGTTTGTTACTAGCATGTATAAAAGTTCTTCCCCACAGTGGCTCCCATGCTTTGCTTTGGTGAGGGTGGCAGCTTACTTTGCATTTCCATAGTGTTACTCCCCCAGTAACTCAACTCTGCTCCAAGTAAAGTTCTGAACTGTCAGAGTCACCAGGCAATGCTCTGGAACTACTCCATACGAAGCCAGTCAGGACTCTGGGGGAGCCTCCTCTCTGTGAGCATACTGTCTCCAGGGCAAGAAGCTTACACAGCTTCGACCTTCCTGGGTCTGACCTCAGAGCATTCAGCATCCCCTTCCACACCGTGCGCTTCCCACAGCGAGTCCGCACAGGCGGGGCTCCTGGGGAAGCCAGAGGGCCCTGCACCCCAACTCCGCAGTCAGACATGACTCTCAGCTAGCCGGTAAAACAGGAGGTTTATTAGACTACAGGAACACGGTCTAAAACAGAGCTTGTAGGTACAGAGAACAGGACCCCTAAGTCAGGTCCATCTTTGGGCCAGGGAGGCCAGAGCCCCATCTGACCCCCCTCCATTTCCCCAGCCAGCTCCAAACTAAAACTCTCCAGCCCCTCCTCTGGCCTTTGTCTCTTTCCCGGGCCAGGAGGTCACCTGATCTTTGTTCTCCAACACCTTCAGTTGGCACCTTTGCAGAGGAGGGGCCCAGGCCATCAGTTGCCAGGAGACAGGGCGTCGGCCATTCTCTGTGCAGACAGCATCACACTGGCCCTCTAGGACTCTGCGACAATCACACACCCTTATCCCACCACCTAGATACTTAGGAACTGCATAGGGGAAACTGAGGCACACACACAGTATTCAGAGAGAACATTAAGAACATTCCCACTTCGTCACATCTCTTCTCCCCTTTGAGACCAAACTGAGCGGGATCACTTTGGCCGGTGACCTGGGGAAGTTCGAACCCACCAACGTTCCCATGGATGCTCCAGCATCTCTCCCATTCCTTGTTGGGAGTTACACCAGGCCCTTCCAGTTTCACGCCCTCCCATAGGTCAGGTGTGCTCGATGGCACTCGCAGGCCACATGTGGGAAGGCTTATGCGGCCAGTGTCCTTTTGCCACCCTAGTGCCCCTGGGGTTCAAACTGGGATTGGGTCTTCATCCAGTGCTCCAGTCTGAAGGGCTGCGATTTGGGCTCTCTTGGTTAAGAGCCCCCACCTTGACCTTGGTCAGCTCTGGGCTTGGGCAGCCGCTCCTCACCTTGTGGCCCAGGTACGACACCTCTCCCATCCCCACCTTGTGCTTTCCAGCTTTTACTGTGAGTCCTGCCTCCTTGAGGCAGCCCAGCACCCTCAGCTTCTCCGAGGTGGGATCCTTCTGCAGCTCGGTCTGGAATTCAGCTGCTGGGGAAGGGAGTGGGACCTGTTCCCTCTCACTGGCTGGGCCTGGGATCACAGCCCCACTGAGCCCTGTCCCTGGTAGCTCCCTCCCTGCCGTGGAATCACTTCCAGCAGCACGTCTGGACAAGGCAAACTTGGTTGGCAGTCAATCTGCCCTGCCTGTGTGTCCCCTCACTCAGATGGGGTCTCGGCTCCCCCCATGCTCAGCGCTGCCCCTGCTGTCCCAGTGAGGGTAAGCAGCCAGCTCGCTGCTTTGGTCACAGCATCAGAGCCCGTGTGAGCCCCCTCTCCGGTGTGCAGGGGGGGTGGGGAGCATCTCTTTGTCCCACTCAGCCCCAGGGGTCTGGTTACAGGCAGGCAGGTATCCTGAGCCCTGGAGCTCCACCTCCCTGCCAGCCAGGTCATATGCATTTTCACTGACCATTTCCCTCCTAGCCAATTGTTTCCCTGGATTCAAATTCAAATCCTCAGCCGTTACAGGAGCAGGGCCTGGATCCTGTCCCAAAGAGACACAGTCATCCCCCAACAGGGCCTCACAGCCGATATCTTGGAGAACCCCAAATACCAGCCAGCCCAACCCCTCCTGTGTCTGCACAGGGATCTGGGCCATAGGCAGGGCGAGGGGCTTCATCCCTGGGACCTTCACCCACACCACACAACCCTTCAGCATCTGGTGGGGCTGCACCACCTGGGGCCTGACAACAGTTCTCTGTCCCAGGGTCTCGCCACCCCAGAAATGTCTTCCCCATTGACCATCACCTTCCGCTTCCACTGGGGGTCCAAGGGAGCCCAGGAGACTCCACGCAGACATATAGGTTGGGGTCAGGAATGGAAGCCTGTCCACCACCCCACCCTTCTGGCTGATGGTGTCTATGGCCTTGGGACCCAGCAAGGGAGCTAGATACCAGGGTTTTTCTGCAGGGCCCCCCTCGTTCAAATCACCAGCCCGCTTGAAGGCAGTAAGGTGGGCATCCACATCCCCCCGCTCCTTAACCAGGGGCAGCAATTTAGTATTGAGGTTCCCTGCAGAACTGGCACCCCAGGGTCTATCCCCACTCACCCCTGGGAAGTCCCTTATGCCTCTCCGCTCCACCACCGCCAGTTCATGCTGCTTCTGCTTCTCCTGCAGGTGTTTCTCAGGCTCTTGCTGTCTCTCATGGTCCTCTTGCTCCTTCGGACTCAGCTCTAGTCCCATCTGTGTCCGACCCCCTGATGGGGAACCTGATCGTGAAGTTTTAAGATTAAGGGGTTTTCCACTAGGAGGGGAGGGGTAATGTAATGTAATTCCTCTGGTTATCAACCCTTTGAAGCCACATCCCTGTCCCCAGATATAGTTCAAACCGGATTCTTGAGAGCCTAGCAAAGAGAAGACATTTGGATGAATAGTGTGAGTTCACATTGGCCCAGGATGACTTCCTGATCCAGCTAGCGGACAGGACCTCGGTCCATGAGGGCCCCAGTCCTTAAGGAAGGCTTGGAAGAACTTGCTTACCAAGTCCCCAAGAGGCTGTGTGCTGGTTCTGAGAGAAGCTGTGATGAGCTGATAACCAGATCGACTCCCCTAGGTTGTGCAGGGGTTGAAGGACTGTTTCTGACAGAGTCCGTGTTAGGGTTTAGGTTCCTCATAAGCTTTTTAGTACTTTATTTTTAAGTGGTTTCTCGCCAGGGATTTTTGCCTAAAGAGTGAAGTAAGCTTGCTTAGACCTGTGTGGTACTATGTATTGATAATCACCGTGTTATCAGTCTGTGAAGAGAAAGCAAGCAGGTGTCCTTGGCAACCTGTCTGTGCTGGGAAATAAACAGTGAAGGCAGGGAACTTGGTAGCCTGGGACTACCTGAGTTAAAAGAAGGAGCCACTGACTCCCTTGCCTGAGTTGGCTCACTTCTCTGGGCACAATACCTATCTGCCAAGAGGGAGTGGAGTTTTTCTAGTTGTGGTGAAGATAAATTTTGAAGAGGCTACTGTACAGTGACACTTAGTTAACTTGAAATATATGTGTCAAGTCTTGATTTTTTTTTTTTTTTTTTTTAGTGCTAGAAATAATTTGTAGATGGATGCTATAATTGAGACAGACATAAGCAACGCTGGCTGCTCTATCCTTAAGGTATAAGTTTGCAATACATTAAGATTTCATAGGATGCATGTACACCACTTGGTGCAACACACACAGGCATAAACTAAATAAGGATGAAATAGTGGCTATTTACTTTCTCATGTCCAAATTGTCACTGTTCCTGCATGGATAATCTGAGGCAAAGGATGAGGCCACAGCTTCCTTCTTTCATTTTATTGCCGGCTCCTGCAGTCATTGGATTCTGGGACTGATTTAGTACACCCAGCAGGTTCCCCAAAGAGCATGGCTTATGTTGGGTCTTTGGTCAGTGCCCTTCTGCATAACTCATGGTGACTAAAACCAAATGAAGATAAGGTACCAACTACACTTGTTTTGTTTTTTAAAGCAACCACAACTCCTATGTCTAAATGAGTTCAGTCTACCCCAAGTAGATACGGGATTCCTTCCACTTGGCAATGGTAACAACAGCTTTGCACCTTCTACAGTGTACCTCCAGAAGCCTAAAGAAATATGTTTGCTCACCTTTGAAAACACTTTAATTTGGCTCTTTTTATCCTAGGAACATTTTTGTAACTTACACCTTTTGTGTACAGCTGCTGCATGCAACGTCCACTATTACAGTTGTTGGTGAATTGCTTGCAGTGGGCTAGTGTAGACTAGATCTTTCCATTTTGGCATGTTGAACTATTAAAGTTGTGTGGAGGCAGTTTTTTAATAGAAGTGCAAAACAATTAACAGTTACATAACAAAAGCATGTCACTTTCTTCAACATTTCATTTGTGTTTAAGGTGACCAAACTGGATCGAGATCCTGCGTCAGGCACGGCTTTACAGGAAATTAGTTTCTGGCTGAACTTGGAACGTGCTCTGTACCGCATTCAGGAGAAGCGTGAAAGCCCAGAAGTCCTCCTGACGCTAGATATCTTGAAACATGGCAAACGTTTTCATGCTACTGTCAGCTTTGACACGGACACAGGTAAGAAATTGCAATGTGCTGTAGATTAATGAGCAGGTTCTGTGGAAGTTTAGCTCTTGTGATATAGTTACACTAGTTAAACGTCAACATCGCAATCAAAAAGCTTCACCTTGTATGAAGTGAAAAATATTGTCTTTCAACTGGCCAGATGGAATTGACACAATGAAGTCAATTAAATTTAACTCTCTTGTATTGTCTTTAGGTCTAAAACAGGCACTGGAAACTGTAAATGACTACAATCCACTGATGAAAGACTTTCCTTTGAATGACTTGTTGTCTGCTACTGAACTGGACAAAATAAGACAGGCACTTGTGGCAATATTCACCCATCTGAGAAAAATCAGAAATACAAAGTACCCCATTCAAAGGGCACTGCGTCTAGTGGAAGCCATTTCAAGAGACCTGAGTTCTCAGCTACTTAAAGTATTGGGAACCAGAAAACTGATGCATGTTGCCTATGAAGAGTTTGAAAAGGTACGTCTAGGGTGTCAAAGGCGGTAATCGTGAACGTAACACACTGAATGCAAATATGAGAGCATGTCGTTTGAGAGTCAAACAAGTTTCTTAAACTTTCAGGTTATGGTTGCATGTTTTGAAGTCTTCCATACTTGGGATGATGAATATGAAAAACTACAAGTGTTGCTGAGAGACATTGTGAAGAGAAAGAGAGAAGAGAATCTGAAGATGGTGTGGCGTATCAATCCTGCTCACAGGAAACTGCAAGCTCGTCTTGATCAAATGAGGAAGTTCAGGCGCCAGCATGAGCAGCTGAGAGCAGTTATTGTGAGAGTCTTAAGACCTCAGGTAGAGTTCCACTCCTTTCGAATTAGGGGAACTGCCTATACATCTGGTAAAGATATAGCAGTTTCCCATCTCTTTATGAAAGTCTACATGCAGACACAAGCCAGTCACATTACAGTCACTCACAAAAGCAAAAATACTTGTGTTCCCCTGCAAACAGCTGACTAAAGGAACCACAGGTGCAAAACATAACCATTAGGATTTGGGTAGAACTCTTCGAAGCATTCGAAATCCACCATGGAAAGGAATATATAATCACTCGCATAGCTGCGAGCTCCTCTGCTGGATCCGTAGCAAGTTAAACAGTTATTTCAAAGTTTTGATATATGTGACACAGTGGTAAAGACCCATTTTCAGCTACGTTAGAAATGTACCAATACCAATTCAATCTGTAACTTATCACTTTTGTATTCATGCAAACAGCAATGCTTTTTTCTTTATAATCTCTCTTCAAATGGAAAAAGAATCTAGGGATTTATTTTCAGGCCTTGAGGGCATGTTTTTAAATAAATAATCTTTAGTTTTCCAAACGGAGCAGTCCTCTTAAATTATTCAGTGTTTATACCCTGACAGTAGTGAAAGATAGTTAATCATTTTCAGTTTGCTTGCAGACATTAATGAGAAGAATGGTATTACATTCTTCCATGTTTTGCTAGTAATAAGGCTAAAGTGTACATACACTAATATATGTCCTACTTAACTCCATGAATAAAAGCACGCTAATGCTGGCCTGTTTTTCCATGTGATGGAAAAAATGGATACTGCATACAATAACTTGCTTTAAGTTTGGATCCCTTGATTTTTGAATATGGCAAATAACTACAGTACAAGTTTAAAGCGGAGAATCTCTCATTATTGCTAAACATTGTGCAGCATAAGGTATACTCTCCTCGTCTCATTTGCAGACTAATACCCTACCAAAACCAAATTAGCACTGTTAGGTTCCAAAGGATTTAGTCAACTGTAACTACAGTGCAAAAAATTAATTGTATGTGTCTTTTTAGTGTGTACATAAAATGCATACTCTCAACATGTGTGTGACAAAGAAACCATTAGATCAGTGAGTCTTGGAGAGTTAACTAAACTATGTGACTTTATGCAGGTCACTGCTGTTGCCCAGCAGAATCAAGGAGATGTACCTGAACCCCAGGATATGAAGGTAGCAGATGTCCTTTTTGATTCTGCAGATGCTAATGCTATTAAAGAAGTAAATCTTGCTTATGAGAATGTTAAAGAAGTAGATGGCTTAGATGTTTCTAAAGAAGGTACAGAAGCCTGGGAGGCAGCAATGAAACGGTATGATGAAAGAATTGATAGGGTTGAAACAAGAATAACTGCTCGTCTACGAGACCAGCTTGGCACAGCAAAGAATGCTAATGAAATGTTCAGGATCTTCTCCAGATTCAATGCTTTGTTTGTCAGACCTCACATTCGGGGTGCTATTCGTGAATATCAAACACAATTGATCCAGCGTGTAAAAGATGATATCGAGTCTCTTCATGACAAATTCAAGGTACAATACCCACAAAGTCAGGCTTGCAAAATGAGTCATGTTCGTGACTTGCCTCCCATGTCTGGGTCTATAATCTGGGCCAAACAGATTGATCAACAGCTCACAGCCTACATGAAGCGTGTTGAAGATGTGCTTGGCAAAGGTTGGGAGAACCATGTTGAAGGTCAGAAGCTGAAGCAGGATGGAGACAGCTTCCGTATGAAGCTCAACACTCAAGAAATATTTGAAGACTGGGCAAAGAAGGTTCAGCAACGCAACCTTGGTGTGTGTGGCCGTATCTTCACTATTGAAAACACTCGTGTTAGAGGCCGAACTGGAAATGTCCTCAAACTAAAAGTCAACTTTCTCCCAGAAATAATTACACTCTCGAAAGAAGTCCGCAACCTTAAGTGGTTTGGATTTCGTGTTCCACTTGCAATTGTCAACAAAGCTCACCAAGCAAACCAGCTCTATCCTTTTGCTATTTCTCTGATTGAAAGTGTCCGTACGTATGAACGTACTTGTGAGAAGGTGGAAGAGCGTAACACTATTTCTCTGCTGATAGCCGGTCTAAAGAAGGAAGTGCAGGCTTTGATTGGAGAAGGTATTGCCCTGGTGTGGGAGTCATACAAACTTGACCCCTATGTACAACGCCTAGCAGAGACTGTCTTCAGCTTCCAAGAAAAGGTTTGTTCTACTGATTATGTTCTTTTTTTCTAAGTGAGACTCTGCACATATCAGTGGCAGTTGAGTTTATTAGCAACAAAATAGTTTAGTTTTGGATTGTATACTATTCAGGACACAGCTGTCTTCCTCTTGGAAAATAAATCTGTGTGAGATCTAAGCAATAGTTGCATAATGTCTTATAGTATTGAAGAAGTCACTGAACAGAGAAACCATTGACAAGATGTATGCTCTCAGATTATTACCTGGTAATGTGGCAAATGTTCTTTTTCAGGGATGGTAGAGAAACCATATCTTATAAAAAATGCTAATTTAGTAAAGTAGCTACTGAAACTTTTCAGTTCATGATTATAACACGAACACACTTTGTATTAATGCTTTATATTCTAGTATAGCATCAGTTACTGAGAAACATGCATGCAGGTTTTTAAAAAGTATCTCCCTTTTAGATTAAGGGAATTAGCCAAATCTTTGTGCTAACTTAGTCTAATTCTGACATCTCCATTATCAGGCAAGTTCCCAGAGACTTCAGTGAATGAAAATAGAGTAATGACTTGCCCCCTCGCAAGAATGGAGGTAGCTCTGTTTGTGAGAGAGGGATGTTTTATCACTTTCACCAACATGGCAGATTGATATCAGCAAAGTACTAACATTAAATTTTCCCTTAGGTGGATGATCTGCTCATTATTGAAGAAAAAATAGACCTGGAAGTTCGATCCTTGGAAACCTGCATGTATGATCATAAGACTTTTTCAGAAATCTTGAACAGAGTTCAAAAAGCTGTGGATGAATTGAATCTTCATTCATATTCCAATTTGCCGATCTGGGTCAATAAATTGGATATGGAGGTAGGTCTTTCACTCAAAGTGAACAGCCTTCAAAGGTGTTAAGTGGCAAAGTAATTTGTCACTAACAACGTGGTCTACCACTCTCAAGTGACACAGAGTAAGAATTTCCAATCTATTTGCCACTTCCTGAATATCTCTACCAAATGCCATTTAGGACATTTGGCAGGCTCTTAGGCAGACAGATAAGAGTGCTTAGCTACCGATGACTGGAATTAATGGATTCCAGGGAAGACTTGCTAGCTCTTCAGCTGACAGGATAATAGCTAAAGGCTTAATGGATGGTTGAATATGGCAGGGTTGGGAACAGGTTCCCCAATGTGTGTGAACATCAGCACCTTAATACAGACAACACTAATCATAATGCTAAGGTGCAGTCTCTTTCTTAGGACAACATGGCAGTAAATCTGACATTTAGGTCCTCTCCTAAAACATAGATTTTAAATACTCTAAACAGTAGTCTAACATGTTGACATAAACTTCCTTTGCTTTAAAAGTGTTTATTTAAAGAAAAAACCCACTCCTGTTCTAAGGTGTAAGGCTGAATTTCCATCCTTTTAAGAGTCCTGCTGTATCTGAAAGTTTCAGGGATTTCTTGACAATGGGGGAATCTTATTGAGAGAACACATGATATAAGTGTCTTTCTGCCAGATTTCTTTGTATTTGTTTTCAATATGGCTTCTTCCTCCCTTAGATTGAACGAATACTAGGAGTTCGTCTACAGGCTGGGCTGAGAGCTTGGACCCAAGTTCTTCTTGGACAAGCTGATGATAAAGCAGAAGTTGACATGGATACAGATGTGCCTCAAGTCAGTCACAAGCCTGGTGGGGAGCCAAAGATCAAAGTAAGTTACATTTGACTGTTACTCATTATGCTTTTTGTTAAAATAAGACAATACAGAATCTTGAGTAGAAATAAAATACTCTTGTGGTACATATTGCTATATAATGTACGTTCTTCAAGTTATGGTCCCGATTTGTATTCCACTGGGGGTTATATGCACACGCCATGCGTGAGAAGCTGGAGCTTTTGAAAGTAGTAGCATCTCTTGGTCCACACATACGCCCTTTCTTCGCTGAAGTCAAGGGAACCTTTGGTACTGAGGCAGTCCCCCTTTCTGGCTCCAGTTCCAACAGCAGATCATGTACCACGGGCACCATGGAGACTTGAGTCCTCCCCTGAGCCTCTTGAACTCTTGTCCTTGGGGGAGGCGAGGTCTCCATGTCTTCAAGTGCTGTCTTCCTCTGGGGGGTACGCTCTCCTACATTAGACTTTCCTCCTTCAGGTCATGTTCCCGCCCATTCCCCTATGGCTCCTGTGGATCCACCAGTTCCGAGGGCACCGCCATTCGAACTGGACTTTGATTTTTTGGTATTGGAGGACTTGGATGGAGTGCAGGATCTGCCCCTTCCATAACAAGTATGACTACCCTAAGGTTCCGCAGACTCAATGGCCGTACCCTCCCTTTCCCTAGCAACGGAACCATTGGTACCCTGCTCTTTGGAGCCCTCCACACCAACGGATCTGCCTGGTTGGCCGTACTGGGTATTGTGGCCTTGGTATCTGCCTTTGGAACCTTCCCACTCCACTCGAGAGGCGTTCCCTACCTCACCTCTTTGACCGCCATCGAGTAGGCATTCTGAACCAATATTGGCAGGTGCTCCTCTTAGTCCAACTCTGACAGTACCGCTGGAACCAGAGCAGTTCCCTTCATCTCCACATGCTGTAGTGTCTTTGTCTCCCTCCTCGCCCCTGGATGATTACTGTCAGTTCCAAGAACTGTTACATAGGGTGGCTAATACCCTCCACATTCCACTGTACAGAACAAACAGCACCAGCTGTCTGATATCTTACACGCCTTGATTCTTGCCAGAATGGCTCTACCAATCAGTGATACTGTTCTTCAACTGGCCTGGACTGTCTGGCACACTCCAGCCACTTACACACCTAGCCCCAAGGGGCGGAGAAGAGGTATTGTGTACCTGCAAAGGGGTCTGATTTTTCTGTTTTCTCATCCCGCCCATCCAATTTCCTCATCATACAGGCAGTGACAGAGCGGGCCCGGCAGCAATGCTGACGCTCCACCCCAGCAGATAATGAGGGCAAGCAACTGGACATTTTGTGTCAGAAGGTATTCTTTTCTGCCAGCCTCCAATTTCGCATTTCCAAGTACTTGGCTCTGTTCGCTAAATACAACTTCCCCACCTACGGCAAGTTGGTGGGACTTCGCAGACAAACTTCCCCAGCAGGATCAAGCCTGCTTCCAGGCTATCCTACAGGAGGGGAAACTAGTTGAAGGATGACGCTCCAGGCCACGGTGGACATGGCAGACACTACTTCGCGCACTATGGCTTCGGGGATCGTTGTGTGGAGGGAGTCATGGCTGCATTCGTCAGGTTTCCCAAGGGAAGTCCAGAACACCACTAGAAGACCTCCCTTTCGATGGGTCTCATCTCTTCAGTCAGAAGACAGATGATTCCCTCCATTCCATCCAAGGCTCCAGAGCCGCTCTGCAATCACTGGGTATCTACACACCAGCAACCAAGTGCAAGTCTTACTCGACCTAGAAGTGGACCCTCTCCTGCAAAGAAGAGCGATGGAACCTGTTTCTATGACCTATCAGGGTGCAGTGTTCTATTCCACCTATTTTCTAGTCCCCAAGAGGGGCATGTGGAGACTGATCTTAGACTTCCATCATCTCAACTGCTTCATACTCAAGCCAAAGTTTCATATGGTCACCCTAGCAGCCATCGTTCCTTTGTTAGAAAGAGGCATGTATTTTACAGCTCTCAATATGCAGGAGGCTTACTTCCACATGGATATCCATCTTACCCACAGACGTTTCCTGAGATTCAAGGTTCTACCTTTTGGACTCACCACTGCTTCACAAGTCTTCACCAAAGTTTTCTCAGGAGCGGTGGACCACCTCCACCACCAAGGGGTCTCTATATTCCCTTGATGATTTGATCGTGCTGCTAGCAGCCAAAGGGGAGGGTCATTCCTTGACCTCCATGCTGCTTACACTCCACTCCTTCCTGGCGGTGAGTGTAAACATCAAAAAATCAATTGGATTCCACACAGTCCCTAGAATTCATTGGGGTCTGTATCAATGCAATATCAGCATGTCCCCACATCCCAGAGGACAGGTTCCAGGCCCTACAAGAGCTGATTTCCACTTCAATTTCCAGTCCTTCTCTTCTGGCCAGGACTTGCCTTTCTCTTCTTGGCCACATGGTGATTTGTACATCCATTACTGCCTGAGCTTGTTTCCACTTTTGTTGCCTACAGCTGTGGCTCCAGAGGACCTATTCTCCCATGAACTACATCATGGACTTTCTACTGACAGTTCCCCAAGAGCTTCTCTCCTCCCTCTAGTGGTGGACGGATCCAGGTCAGGTCTGAACCGGAATGCCATTCCTTCCATCCTCCAAGCATGACTATCACCGCAGATGTGTTACTTGTCGGATGGGGTCCCACATGGGCGAGCACATGACTCAGGAGTCTTGGACTACTCGGGAATCCTGGATGCCCATCAACATCCAAGAACTTTGGGCGGGGCGGAGAGCATGTTGTGCATTTCTCACATTCATTCATTCCTGTCATGTTCTCATCATGTCAGACAACACTATCACTGTTTACTAAATCAACAAACAAGGGAGCATGAGGTCACAGACGCTTTGTATGGAGGCAGTTAATCTTTGGGACTGGTGCATTGCTCAAAGATCCCATTGTCAGCAGCATACCTTTCCGGAACTCAGAACATAATTGCGAACTCTCTCAGCAGGAAATTCATGACTGATCACAAATGGGAGCTCCACGACACCGTGGTCACCAACATTTTTAAGTACTGTGGGATTCTGACCAGGGACATCTTCACCTCCCACGCCAACAGCAAATGCACCCAATATTCCTCTGAGGGAGAGGGGGGCTCAGTGACCTTTCCCAAGGTGATGCCCTAGTCCTCTGCAGGTCAGACCAGATCAATTATGCATTTTCCCCCCTGGAGCTTCTGCCACGTGTCCTACACAAGATCAGATGCGAGAGAATGAAGTTCACTCTGATTGCCACTCTGGCTTTGCCAGTTCTGGGTTCCCTTCTTCTCCATATGTCAGCGTATTCCCCCTGCTTCCACAGCCAGCTTTTCTGGAACTCCTCAAACGACATGGCTGCAGGACTCAGCATCCCAATCCAGAGACTCTTCACATCCGAGCTTGTTTTTTGGATGGCCATCTTCACTAGAGCAGGAACGTTCGTCATCAGTACAAGACGTCTTCTTGAAGAGCAGAGAAGAGTCCACAAAGCAGTCCTGTAGGGCCAAGTGGAAGTGTTTCACCTCATGGACCCAACAGAGGGGTCTTGCTCCTGAAGATGTGGACATCCCTCTTCTTTTGGACTATCTTCTCTCCCTGAAGACGT